AAAGCCCAAGCCAGCAATCTGTGGGGGAGAGGTTAGGGTTGGCAGGGGAGCTTCATTCCCCCCCTCCCGTTCTGAAACAGTGACAGGCTGGCAGACACAAGTTATAGAAGATGCTATGTTTTGAAACGTCTTCATGTAAATCCTCCTGCAATGAGGGGTCAGATTTATACCTGATCGGTCACCTTTTTTTTAAGTGGTCTGTGGCCACGCGCTTGTTCGGACATGGCTGTAGACCGCTTTCTCTGCCTGCTTCCTGTGCCCAGATCAGGCAAGAATTGTCACTTCTGTCTGTACCCCCAACTTGAGAAACTACGTTATGTATTACAGTGCTTACCTCCTTGTGGCAGGGCTGGGCAATGGGTGGGGAGGATTATTGGCAGGGATAAGCCTGAGCCTTTGTTTATCTACCTAGCTTATCAGCTCATCTCCTTCACAACTTGCCATGGGCGACTGGTGCCTCCCAAGTCTGGGGGGACACCAGATCACCGACGGGGGGTCCCCCAGCGGCCAGTTGCCGAGCCGGCAGCAAAACCGGAACGGCACTTCCAGTTTTGCATCTGGCACTTCCAGGAGGTGCACAGCCGATCTCAGGGGGTGCACTTGCACCCACATGCACCCCCTACTCATCACCAGTGCAACTTGCTTATCTCTTCATACCTTGTAGCACCCTTCAAAGGATCTGATAGCACCCCACAATGCCCTGGCATCCTGGTTGAGAATCACTGGCCTAGGCTTAAGTTTTCTCAGCAGAGTTATGTCTGAGGGAATGAAAACCAGATGTGTCGGCATAAGGGGCAAGGAAGAACCATTTCCCAGGGGCTGTAACAGTAGTGCACAGGGAGCACCCCCATAAGGGGGCACCTTGAAATTTTTCCCAGCTCTGAGAACCTTTCTGGGCCCTTGGTGGAAAAGAAATCACATCTTCAACCTCTGCAGCTCTGCTAGCAAAAGCCCAGGCTGTCGATGGAGGTAGTCCACCTAGAAATCCCTCAATTCCAGAGAGGAAGACGATGAAAAAAGGGTCCTGTGTCTCTTTAGGGTGATGGTCAAAACCTCTTTAGGGTGATGGTCAAAAGGTTTCTAAAAGCTTTGTTGAAGTGTTTCTGCCTCACTTTTAGGCACGTAAACCAATTCTTAGACGTTTTTAAACCATAGATCTTCAAAGCGTCTGGTCTAGGCTAGACAGTGTTTTGTAAATTCGCGAACAGCCTCATTGATCAACCTGCCCTCGTTACCACTTTCTGAAAGACTTTCAATTAAAAGCTTGTTTTCTTGAAACTAAACTGACAAGTGTGGCAGAAAAGTAATTTTAATTTGGTCAAGACTTTTTCTCTGTCTCTGTTGACCAACGGAAAACGTCGGTGAAACCTGATGTTTTCACACTTCTCTTTGGCTATTGGATGAGGAGTCTTCAGTTGAAAACACCCTGCTTTGCATTGTTTTCCATTTGGGTTTTTTGTGGGGGAGGTTAACCAGCTGAAATGAAAACCAGCACACACACAACTGAATACTTCATATCCAAGAGCAGACCTCTTGCACTACACCATCTTAAATGCATACAGCATGCTGCCATTAAAGGAAAAAGCAGGTCCTTTCCCCCACTCCCCTCTCAATTAATTTTATTATTGACTTCTTTTAGGTAGGCTGGATAATTCAGGGTAGGAAAGACAAGTGTGGCATTGGGAGACTTTCTAAGTTATTCCTCTTCTTTAATTTTAGCTTTTTCCTGGCTGAACTGGAAAAGTGTCTTCAGGAACCTGACCGCTTAGCGCAGCTCTTTATAAAACATGTGAGTTGTCTCCTGTGTCCCACAGTCATCGTCTTAGGCAAAGCCTCTTTCCCCATGTTGTCTGATTTGTGCTGACTTGCTATTCTTATGTGTGTTAAATGTTAATCTACATATCCAAAAGACCTAGAGTTATTTTGTTGTAGCTATTGAAATGCCCTACAATGCAAAAAGCTGTTTTAAAATTGTGGGTTTTGGGGTTGTTGGTTGTTTTTTGGGGGGGAAGGGGGGTGCGGGGGGGGTTGAACAAAAGATGACACTCCATTGCCTATGAATAGATGATAAATCATCTTTACACTATCAGAGTCATTGTCAAGAGGCTTTGAGTTGGGGTTGGAGCTAGACTCCCAATGGGAAACTCCAGCCTCCTAGCAAATTTCAGCCCTGGCGGAGCAGGGGAACCCTCTTCTGATTTTTTTTTTTTTTTTTTTTTTTTTTTTTTTATTTTTTTTTTTTTTTCTTTTT